AATTGCTTAATACCAACAATGGTTGCCTATTAACTCACCGTCTTTACATGTCAAGTAATTGCATATGGGTTGTGTACAGTGATGTTTCATTGAGAACCCAGGTGTTCTTTCCTGCCGGGACTAAGCATTGTCCTGCGGAGGCAGAGCTTAGTGCCCAGCCAGTGCCCGGCACACCGCAGACGCTCACTAAACGACAGGCTAAAATCGATGCAGCAGTTCTCACCCTGCCTTCTCCCTCCCCATTCTCTCCAGCCTTCTTTCCACAGCACTTCACTAGACTCCTTGCTGGTCTCTGTCCCCTGCCCTGGCTTTTCATGCCCATGTTGTTGGGTTCATCTTCTCCCTCTTACCTAAAAGAACCTCTTCTGCGATGAACTGGATTCTAGGCAGGGAGGTGACAGCAGGAAGCTGAGGCAGGAGCCTGGGTTGTGAAGCTTGTTAGAAATGCAGACCCTTTGCCCTGGCCAGGTAGCTCAGTTGGTTAGAGCGCTGTCCCCATACACCAAGGTTGGCTGTTCAATCTCTAGTCAGGGCACGTAACATACAAGAAGCAACCAGTGAATGCATAAATAAGTGGAACAACAAATTGATGTTTCTCTCTCTCTTTCTCTCTCTCAAATCAATTTAAAAATATTTAAAAAAAAGCAGACTCTCACCCAATTGCAGTAAGACTCCCAGGTGATCTGCAGGCACCTGCAGAAGAAAGTTTGAGAGGCACTGGCTTAGGGACTTTGTCACCCAACCATACCACTTGTATGTTAATCCGCTCGGACTGCCATAACAAAGTATAACAAAGTACCACAGACTGGCTGGCTGGCTTAAACAGAAATTTATTTTCTCACATTCTAGAGGCCAGAAGTCTGGGGTCAAGATGCCAACATCGTTGGTTCTCCTGAAGCCACCCCTTTGGCTTGCAGATTGTCGCCTTCTTACTGTTTCTACATGTGGTCATCCCTCTAAGCACGCACACCCTTTGTGTCGCCCTGTGTGTCCAAATTCCCTCTTCCTACAAGGGACACTGGTCAGATTGGATTAGGGCACCCACCTAGCAGCCTCATTTTAACTTAATCACCACTTTAAAGACCCTATCTCCAAATACAGCTACATTCTGAAGTACTGGGGATTAGAGATTCAACATATGGGTTTTGTGGGGGACACAACTCAGCCCATAACACCACTTTAAAGAAGAAGAAATTGAGGCCCAGAGAAGTATGTGACAATCCAAAATCACCCTGTGGGCCAAGAGATGAGAGCTTCATCTCCAACAGAGCCCCTCTGAGCAGCAGCAATGATAGTGTAAGAGGCTGAAGAGATGGAGCCTGATGTTTGCATTTAAGTTTTAGCTTTGCTCCCACTATTTCTGGGATATTGGATACACGCCTTACCCTCCCCAGGCCTTATTTCCCTTTTCTGTGACATGCGGACAGTAGAAGGCTCTCCCTCCAGGTGGTGAGGGTGCCCTGAAACTTGGATGGGAAATGCAGGCTTCCACACCGATGGTGCCTGTAGCCTCCTGACCCCACTCCACCTCCTCTCATCTGCTCTCAAAACCCACATATTCGCTACCAGCCAGATGCCTGATTATTTCCCCCAGGTGATTTGCAGTTTAATAGCTAGAAAAACCAAGGGTTTAAAAATGGTCACGGTGGAATGTCAGGCATCAGCTGGCAGGTGCACAGGTCTTTGTGGGAGCCAAGCCTGTGGCAGGCACTAAAAGGAAAACCTGCTAACATGCCCTTGCACCCGGTGCCTGGGGATTCTCGCTTCTAAATAATAGGCTGTGCACAATTTGATTTCATTTCACTCTAAATTGCCCAGCCTGCAACCAGGGATGCAAGGCGGAGTCCTACAAATCAATTCTGCTGTGCAAATAAGCTGGCGCCTGCTAACCTGGGGGTGCTTAGAAATGAGGCCCAGCTACAGAGCATTAAGGCAATGATTGCCATTTGCCTTTTGGGGTCAAACTGGGTGTGAATACAAAATTGTTTTCAAATGTTTCGTTTGTTTAGATTTATGTAGCATGCCCTCTGTTAAGATTTAAGCTATGCAAAGCTCTTTGCTGAGGCTAGAGCGGGAAGGTGGGAAGACTGAGTCCCCTTCCCGGGCTCAGAGGGGCTCAGCACTAGAGTGGGCCTGGCTGTGCAGCCTAATAAATCATGGTTCAAGATGGGGAGAGGAGTTCTGGTATGGAGGGACTCCATCTTTCATCCATACTTTATCCATCTGTACTTTTGGGGGTAGGGGCTGCTTTAAATCCTGCCCCTATGGTGTGGTTCATGTTGGCTTCCCACCCATGTTGGAGATCAGGATAGCAGCTTAGAGGGAAGCAGGTTCTTTCAATCTGGGCCCAGGCCTGGCTTTGGTGGTATAGTACCCTCCCCAGGTCTGGGCCAGGTTCTTAAGTGTGTCCAGTTGGTATATTTCCCAGCCCCTCTGTGTTCCTCTGGCTTTTGACTATGTCAGCATCCACTCTTGCCTCTGAAAATTCAGGGCCCAAAGAGAGAACAGCAGTCACACCCTGAGTCACCCTGGGCAAAATGTAGGTGGTCTCCCTGTCTGGCTCATGTCTGTCCATGCCCACCTGTGGTCCACTGTGTCCAGCTGTCCTGCAGCCCTACCCTGCTTCATCCCTCTGTGCCACCATCCCCTCCCCACATGCCCAGTGCTCTGCAGGACCCTTGTCACGAGATCTCCTGCTGCACAGGATCTGCTAAACTCATTCATGGGAAGGAGTAAATAGTAACAATTGCTCCTTCCCAGAGTCTTTGCATTTTAATCAGTGGCCAGTGCTTGAATTAAAAAAAAGAAAAAACTTTAAAGGAAGAAAGAAAGAAACATAAGAGGTAGAGGGAATGACCCATAGTTTCTACTGGAGGGCCTTCTGAGTGTGCGCCAAGCCCACGCCATCCTCCTCGTGTGGATCAAAGGCCAGGGGCTGTCGGCCCACTTGCCTCCTTGCCAGCAGCCCCGGTGGGGTGGGCAGCTGCAAGCCAGGATCCCTGCTGCCCATTAGAGAAGCCTGTCCGCTGCAAACCAGGACGTCAGCAGAATTGAACAGTGAATCTAAAACTGGAACAAGTCTCTCTAATTAGCTAAGACCCAAATCTAATTCAAATAGTGTTTCTTCACTGAACCATGAACCAACTTCATCATCATCCTCCCTCAGTTGACCGGTTTAACCCGGAATTGAACTAAAGTGGGAACATACTGACCATCAGCTAGCTTATGGCTCCCATTTCATAGGTGAGAACACTGAGGCCCCAGCTCAAGGTCATGCGGCACCTCAGTGGCTCATATTGACTCTTTAATAACCCCTTACTTTCTCTACTATTTCAAGTGACCTCTTGACTCAGAACCTCAAGAGATAGTACAAGTTATGTTTTATATTGTATATCTCTGAATCGGGACCCTCTCTTAGAAGTTGGTAACTCAAATGAGAAATGTGTGTCTGGGTTGGAATTCCCCCAGCCTTCCCTTCTTCCCACAGCCCTAGAAAATCAAAGGGAAAGGTTTAAAATTTATTGTGACTTGATTTGTGTTATGATTACTGATACTATCATTATTATTTGCCTCAATTATCTACTCATTTTATTTAAAATATATCTTTATTATTTCAGAGAGATGAAGGGAGAAGGAGAGAGAGAGAGAGAAACATCAATGATGAGTCATTGATCGGCTGCCTCCTACACACCCCCCGCTGGGGATTGAGCTCGCAACCCGGGCATGTGCCCTGACCAGGAATCAAACCATGATCTCCTGGANAATTGAGCTCGCAACCCGGGCATGTGCCCTGACCAGGAATCAAACCGTGATCTCCTGGATCCTAGGTCGGTGCTCAACCACTGAACCATGCTCTCTACTCATTTTAAATTTACCTCCTGAAGGTTATAACATTTATCTAAATTGGTGGTTCTTAACTGGGGGAGACTTTACCCCCAGGGGACATTGGTAATATCTGGAGAGATTTTTGGTTGTCACAACTTGGGAGGGAGGCACAGTGTGTGCCGCTGGCATCTTTTAGGGAGAGGCATGAAAAGTGCTGCATAATGCCTAGGGCAGCCCCCACAACAAAGAATTTTCTGGCCGAAAATGTCAATAGTGTCCAGTTTGAGAAACTCGGATCTAAGTCAACACAAGGGGAAAAGTGTCCTACAGATCCTGCTACCTCAACAAATGAAACTTTTCACTCTTCTGTTTGCTCCCAGCCTCTCCCCCACCACGTGTGCTGACGTTTCTATAGTTCTTATAAATATGGTTGAAATACAATTTACACTCTCCTTTTTCCCCCACTTAATATTGCATCCTGACCTTTTGTCCCTCTTGCCTCATCTTCACAATGACCATTTTTAATGGGTGCAATGTAGTCCTTCCGGTGGGTTGATAGCCCATATTTTACCTGAGCAGTCCAAGGCTCTCATGGGGACTTGGTTCCTGAGAGACTTGCCAAGTGGGCTGCATGGAGTGGTGGTGGCTTGTGTGGGCCCGCTGTGGCCAGCCTTCTCCTCTGCCTTAGCCCAGGCTGATGCCATCATAGTCTTCATCATCAAAAGGCCTTTATGAAGCGCCTTGGTGAATACATCCAAGAGGGATCTTCTGCAGAGGTCTTCCCACCAGCCCAACACGCAGGGCATGTTGGCTCTGACAAACAGCACATATGTCAGCCAGCCACAAAGGCATCCAGGGACCAGGCTACAGGCCAAACCCGATTCTTAAGCAGTATTCATGACAAGAAGTGTGTCTAAGAATGGAAGGCAAGCTGGATTCTCGAAGGGAGCCAGGGCCTTGAGTTCTCTCCTCCGGCTGGCTCTAGGCTTCTTGAAGGACATGGTATTTCAGAAACTAGGGGGGTGGGGGGCACGTTGGCAGGGGTCAGGTGTGCCGGGCTCAAGTGTTCAAGTGCACAGCCTGGGAGAGGACCGGATGCTAGCAGAGACGTTTCTCCTGAGACCTGCCCTCCCCTGCCTCCCTCTCCTCACCTCAGTGCCTTTTTCTCCTGGCAGGTATTCCATGAGCAGGGCATCCTCTTCGGCTACCGTCACCCACAGAGCTCCGCCACGGCCTGTGTCCTCAGCCTTTTCCAAATGACCAACGAGACCCTCAACATCTGGACTCACTTGCTGCCCTTCTGGTACCTTCCAGCCATCTCATTCGGGAGTCCTGGGAACCAGGGCTTCTTTAAAACACAACTGGGGTGGGGAGGGCTGAGATGCTATGCTGGGATTTTGGGGACTCCCCAGGGTGTGTGGGTGTGGAGCAGAGGCGAGCTTTTGGTCATGGATTGTGGTAGGCTTCATGGGGCTCCTGGTGGCTCCATGGTCTTCCGTGGTCCTGGACCTGATTTCATCTTCTCCTCTTCAGTCTTGGAGGCTTTCTGGGTCTCCCGGGAGACCTGGTTAACATGTCATGAGCTTGAGCAAGTCACTTACCCTCTCTGAGCCTCACATTTTTCCATCTGCGAAGCAGGAGGATAGTCCACACCTTCGTTGGGTCTCTGTGAGGATTATGGGAAAAGACACTGGAAAAGGCATTGGGCACAGAGCTGTGGGTGCCCTGTAATTGTTCTGGAACCACAGCAACTGTACACAGTTAAGAGCTCTGGGACATGCATGTGTGCAAAAAAGGGAGTTGCCAGGAAGGTGAAGAGGGGAAGGACCTTGCTGAGAAGGGGACAGTCCAAAGAGCAGCTTCACACACCTCATGTCTGTGCATGAGGGGAAAGTGGAGATGGGGTCAGAAGCCAAGTCATAGTCTATCCGAGCTGGAAGAATCTGAGGTCGTGACGGGCACTGTCCCACTCATGCTACCATTGGCAAAGATGTGGCCCAGAGAAGGGGGCAGCTTGTTTACACTACAGTCAGGGCACAGGCTGGTCTCTGGGCTCCCCCCAGATCATGTCGAGAAGCCAGGAGAGGAGGAGGGACCCAGAGTGTGTGCAGGTGGAGATGGGCCCGAGGAAGGCAATGTGCCCCATCAAAGTCAGAGACTGACCTGGTGCCAAAGGCAGGGAAAGGTGCCAGAAACCTTCCCAGGGAAGGAGAGAGCAGTTAGGCTTGTGGTGGACTAGGGCTGTCTGTAAAGAAGCCTATGGCCCACTAGCTGGTCAGGGTGGCAGCGAGATCCTGCCCACGGAGGCTGTTTGTCATTTTAAATTTAAGTAAACATCACTAAAAAGTCTAAATGCTAACAAACAATAACTTGCAGAAGGGAACAGAGTCGGTGTCTCCCTAGCCCCTCTTCCCCCTGGAGCTGCCAGGTGAACCTGTTTGTTGTGCATCCCCCCAAAGCGCTTCTAGGATGGGAGCATCTGTGACATGTGTACACCCAGAGCCCAGTTCTTCACCGCTCTCCCCAGCTCTGCTTCCCTAGGAGCTCTGACCATAGCCTCTCAGGCTCTGGAACAGCTGCAAGGTGTCTGTTTATGGATGAACCACAGGTGATTTAGGCTGTTTTGAAGTTTGCACCACTACAAAGAGTGCTGGCCGACCATCCTTATTTGTGGGGCCTGAGCCCTGTGCACAGATCCTGTGGGACGACTTCTTAGCTGTTGGACAGCTGAGCCATGCTACACTGCCAGGCCAAGCTGAGCAACATGGAGTGGCAGGAGGGCTTGGGAGAACCAGAGTAAGATGCCCTAAGGAAGGGGAACTAGGGAATGATCCTGAGATGATCAAAGGGTATGTTTTAAGAAACAGCAAATAGCTTAAGCTTTATCAGCTTGGACAGGAGGAAAAAGATGATCACGCGTATGGCCAGAAGATTTATTGATGCTCCTGGGGGTCCCTGCGTAAAAAGCTCTGTAGTCTCCTTCCCTGGGAGTAGTTTGTGGAAGTAGGCAGCTCTGGAGGCAGGACCCCGTCTCGTGGGTTATAGGTCAGGAAGATCTGATGCAGACGTGTGCAACACTGCTGTGTAGAGATGGAGCCCAGAGACCCAGGCCCTGTTGAGGCTCAGCCTGGGCCTCCACCACTCAGAAAAGTTATTGTAATGTTAGTGGAGGAATAGTGTGGAAGAGACGGGAGAAAAACATTCTGTTATCCTCTAAACTTTCAGAGCTCCACCTGGGCGATGGCTTCTGATTGAGGAACCTTCCTGTAAGGGGGACAGGGACAAACTGTAGGGATGGTGACCAGGTTAAATGTGGGTCCTGTGAGAAATGGTTGAATGCACTGGGGTTATTTAGTGTGAAGTTCAAAGAGGTGGGGAGAGGTTATGAAGACTGCCTTAAGATATTTGATGGGCTTGTTGTCTGTGGTCCAGTCGGGGAGCACTAGGGCTGATCAAATGGAGATAGATTCCAGAGAGACAGATGGCAGCTCAGTGAAGAACTTTCCAACACTCAGAGCTGCCTTGGTAGGTGGTGAGCTCCCCGTCCCAGAAGCATGCAAATTGAGGCTGGAGAATCACTTGAGCAAAATGCTGTAAGAGGGCTCTGTCACCACCAGCAGGGAGAGGGGACTGGATAAAGGCCCTCTTCTTACCCCTCCTGCTCATTTTCAACCAAAAAAGGACCCCACAAACTCTCCCTTGCTCATGGCATTTCATCAAAGCGAGAACATGTAGGGATTGGCCATGCCAGGGGAACAGAAGGCAGGAGATAATCAGATGGGGTAAATAAGAGGAGCACCCAGCCATGGGGACTGATGGGCCATGCTGTGTTCCAGGTTCTTCATGTGGAGGTTTGTGACTGAACTGTATGTGATAGACACCCAGAATGACAGCTACTCCTGGCCTCTGCTTGTGTACATGAGCACCAGCTGCGTGTACCCCCTTGCATCCAGCTGTGCGCACACCTTCAGCTCCATGTCCAAGAACGCCCGGCACATCTGCTACTTCCTGGACTACGGCGCTGTCAATCTCTTCAGCCTGGGTACGTGAGGCCTTGCGCTCGACTTCCCTCCGCTAGGACTGAGCTACCTGCCCCTTCCCCTGGGAACTGGGGTCGCCAAAAGGCTTCGATGGGCTTGCGGAAGAGTCGTGGGAATGCAGTGCCCTGTCTAGGCTCCCGATGAGTGTTTCATAAGCAGCTTATCCAGCGGTGTGCTGGCAATACTTAACAACTGGTTCTCTGGGGATGAAAGCCCTGGTCAGTGGCGTTGCTGATTTGTGGTATAAATACTCCTGCGTGTCAGACTTCAAGCCACCACCATGACATCACTGAGCGCAGGTGGGGACAGATACACAGTAGCACACCCCTACGTAGTAATTCCTCTATACTGACACAGTAGATGGATTAATTGAATAGTTATTACTTTTATTAATATGACTCATTTAATTATAACTTAATGTCATTTAATTTTTAATAATAGCTGTGTCTAACAATTGGCTCACAAGTTCTCTGAAACTGTCTGCTCCCACAGGCCAGGTGAGCCAACCACACACGAGTGCTGGTCTCTGTCGTATCTGACAGGGAAGTGGGGTGGTCACAAACCTCATTTGTCCAGAGGCTTAGAGAAGTTAGCGATTTTCTCAAAGTGCCACAGGGACAGAGTGACAAACCGGGAGCTCCGGCCTTCTTGTGTTTTTCTTTATGATGTCCTCTCCTGTTGTCTCCTGTCTTCTCCCCGACCATGGGCACCCATCTCTCCCCTCACATCCCAGTTCTAGCCTCTTCTCCCTCCTGATCCTGCTCTAGGCGTGAAAGCAGAGGCATCATCTTCCTTCCCCAAGAGGGGGTCCATGAGGAGCCTGCCTCTATCCCATTTCCTCGTTTCTCTTTCTTCACAAGCTACACATACACACACACACACACACAGAGATACACACACACACACAGATACACATATAATACAGAGATACACATGCATAGATACATATATAATACACAGATACATACCGACAGATACACATATAATACACAGATACACACACAGATACACACAGATACATATACACACACAGATACACATATAATACACAGATACACATATACAGACACATAATACATATACACACATGTACATATGCAAAGTGGGGCAAAAGTAGGTTTACAGTTGTATGTGAAACAGTTTATTTTTGTATTATTATTTATTAATTATTATATTATTTTCCATGCAAACAACTGTAAACCTACTTTTGTCCTACCCTGTAAATACATACACACATATACACATATAGACATACACATACATACACACACACACACACACACCTATACATATATAAATATATCCACATAAGCACATACACAGTCTTTACTGCCTCGCCTCCCACTGAGTGCTCTGCTGTCCAGCCCTGCCATTCACTAAAACTGTGGTTGCCAAGCCCCAGCCTCCTCCTGACTTGGGATTCATGCAGCCCTGTGGGCTCTCTCTCCAGCCTTTGATGCAGGGGCCCCCAGTGCTCCTCAGACCCCCTCTTCCTGTGGCTCCTCGTGCATCACTCCCTCCCCTTTCTCCTCCTTTGCTGGTCCCCCTTCCTCTGCTCTCCTCCATAGGTGGGTGAGCTCAGCATCAGTCCCTGGGCCTCTGCTCAGACATGGCCCAGTTCCCTGGGTGACCTCCCCTGTGCCCACCATCCCCTGACACCTCTGGTGAGGTGCTTCCAACCCCCATCTCTAGTTTAAACTGCTTACCTGAGGTCCCCCCACAATCAGCCCTTCGACCTAGACTATCCACCTTCTCCCCACCTCAGCTCCCCCTCCCTCTCTCTCCAGCCCATCCCACTTCCACCATCCTCTCTAATTAGTCAGCACATTCAGTTGAGTCTCTCCTTCATATTTTTCAAATCGGCTCTGTCTCCCTGGGTTAGCTCAGACCCTCATGTCCCCCTGCACTGTTTCAGCAGTCTCCTCTCTGCCCCCCAAACCCCATTTCCACCCGCTGTCCGGGGAGGTTTTTACAACACCTTCTGGCTATGGCACCCCTCCCACTTAAAACCTTCCAGGGTTCCCAGTTTCCTGGGATGAAGTCCAAAATCCTTAGCCCGGGAGCTCCCCAGCCCTTGATCGCCTGCCCAGACTCACTATGACAAGAGCAAGCATATTGGAGCAATCAGTACAAGGCAGACTCGGAGCTGCGCGCCTGGCACACATCACCAAGGGGCGGCAGGCATAGCGCGGTGCCTGGTGGCCCGACGGCCACCACGCCCTGATAGTTACATGATCCTGGGCAAGGTTCTTAACCTCTTCAACCTCAGTTTCTCATCCACAAAGTTGACATAATATCTCCCTCATAGGAGTGTTATGAAGATTAAATGCATTTGGAAGTGAAGCACCTAGTAAGCATGGGAGGGTAGCCATTACCATGGTGATCTAGTTACCCTGACAGCAGTGCCCCGAGGTGGGGACCATCAGTATACCTACGCTCCAGGCGAGAATAATGAGGCACCGTGAAGGTCAGTGACCCAGCCACACAGCTTGTCAGTGGCAGAGCCAGGGCCCCAGGAGCCTGAGGGGCCTGTGGGTTCCTCCAAGCCCCCAGGCTGGGACTGACTTCTGTGCAGCTCTGTCCCCAGCCTTGTCAGTGGTTCCTCCATCTCTGCTCCTCACTGGGAACAGCACCCTGAGACAGACGTGTGCCTTTCACATTTCGCTTTCCAGCCTATAGCCAGTGCCTGGCGTGGGTGCTCGGTAGACAGGGAAGGAAGGTCTAGTGGTTGGAGAGAGCCTGTGGGTTCCACTGGGACACCAGCTCCATGTCTGCAGCCACCGCTCCTCCCACTCTCCTCCAACCCTTCAGAAACCCTCAATCCCTGGGAGGTGGCTTCTATCCAGCTTCCCTGACTTCTAGCTGTTCCTCCCTCTAGGCATCCTGTGCACTTTCACTAGATTTTGGTCACCTTAATCCCCCACTCAGAAACCTTCCAGTTGCACCTGACACTGATACAAAATAATATTGAATGTAAGCTGTAATAAAAATTTTTTTTAAAGAAAAACTTTTCAGCCCAGCCGGGCGTGGCTCAGTGGTTGAGTGTCGACCTAGGATCCAGGCGATCAGGGTTCAATTCCCGGTCAGGGCACATGCCCGGGTTGCGGGCTGCGGCCGATCAATGGTTCTCTCATCATTGATGTTTCTATCTCTCTCTCTCCCTCTCCCTTCCTCTCTCTGAAATCAATAAAGATATATTAAAAAAAAAAAAAAGAAAAACTTTTCAGTTGCTCCCAATAGCCTAAAAGATAAAGTTTGCTTTCCTTAGTCTGGCATCTAAAGCCAACTCCTGCTCTGCTCCCCAAGAAGCCCTCCCTGCCCTTAGGCCCTTTTTAGAATCCCCCACCTTCTAAGGAGGCTTCCCAGATCAGCCCCTTTGCTGGATGCCCACCCATCCTGAACGCCCACCTCACACTGCAACCCTCTTGGAGGCTCTGATCAGTTCCGCTTCCCACTGCAGTTTCTGGCAGGGTCTGAGGCTCCTCGTTTTTGTGCCACCCACAGAGCTTGGCACCTGGGCCCTAGACAACATGCACAGAGTGAATGCATCCTGGTCCAGATGGGAACCTCCACATAGTATCAGGCTGAGAGCGGAGACTGTCCCCCTGGAGGCAGTGCCCAGTGAAACCTCACAAGTGGCCTGCTGAAGGGGGGAACATGGGACCCGGAGGTGGCAATGCTCCGCTCTTTGTGCCTGTGTAACCCTGGGAACACCACTTGGCCTCACTAGACTCCATCTGTCAAATGGATCAGAGACAGAGCCCTGTTTCAGCCTTGAGCTAGAATTCCAAGGTCTCTGTCTTTGGAATAACAGGTGACCTTGGGCCTAATCCCTCAGGCCCTGGGCTGAACTGCCTGTGGCTGCCCATCCCAGAAGGGACTTCAGCAGGTGAGGGCGCTGGAGAGGCCGTCTGGTCTAGGTCCCCGGACAGTGATCTCCCCGGTTCTTAAAGCTGCAGCAGACAGGTTTCATGAAGTTCCTTAGTTAACCCGTCTCACAAACTCCAAAACCTGAAACAGAACAAAACTCCAAGGCTGGCCAGCCTCTTATACCCAGCCTCCCAGCTGGCCAGGCCTGCCGCCAGCTGATGGGATTTGCAGCACCTCGGCAAGGCTCCCTCTCCCCACACCTTGATCTCTCTGCAAGGAGCACTTCGTGCCATCAGGCAGACGACACGTGCACACTCAGACCTGTAGTTAAAAGTAGGGGCTGTCGCTGAACTGCCTGCACTCAAAGCTTGGTTTTGCTGCTTTCTAGCTGTGTGCCCCTGGATGGGTTAACTAAGCTGCTGTATGCCTGTTTTGTCATCAGTAAAATGAAGATAAGTGCAGGATGGTTGTAAAGATTATGTGAGTCAATATATGTAAAGCCCGTGGAGCAATGTAAATTGTCAGGATAGGATCTGGGTAGGCGGAGAGGAGAGGGCAGGGCATTCGGGCAGGGGGGATGGCACAGGACTGCTCGTGGTCGCTGGGGCTGATGAGGCTCGGCCACACGCTAGGGTTGGTCTTCCCAGTGAGTCCAGGCAGTGCCAAGTAGTGGCTTCTTACCCTAGGCTGGTTTTTCTTCCCCAGGCTCAGCCATCGCCTACTCTGCGTATTCGTTCCCTGACAATCTGGTGTGCACCACCTTCCCTGACTACTACGTGACCCTGGCTGTGCTGAACACCATCATCAGCACTGGCCTGTCCTGCTACTCCAGGTACCTGGCCACTCTATCCCAGATGGGACAGGGAGGGAGGAGGGCTCGAGTGCATCTCCAGCCTGGGACTGTGGACGTCCTGTGGCTAGGCAGGACCCGTGTCACGGGCATACGGCCATCTGTGCAGTGGCTCGGGGCCCCGTGATCAAGAGGGCTCCACACTTGGTTTAATGCTCTGCTATTGCTGTCCTGAAAGTCACTTTGCACTGAGCCCTGCAAATTATATAGCTGGTCTTGTTGCTGGACAATCACTTATCCTCCTTGACCCTCAGTTTTCCCATCTGTAAAATGAGTCGAACATCTACCTTATGAGATGGATGCAAGGACTACAAGTAATGTGCATATGTACCCAGAACACACAGCACAAGCCTGGCCCAGAGGAGTGCCCCACAAACGACAGGAAGTCTGCTCCTCGGGATTAAGTGGGCCTGCCTCTAGATAGTGTGATAAGTGACATGATATTCATCTGTCAGACACATCCTGGGGGAAACCCCATGGCCAAGAGTCACACCCAGCTCACTCTCTAATTCCCTTGATTTTTTTACCCTTTTCACTAAAGAAAGCTTATTGGAATGAGAGCTAGAGGCATTGTTTTGAGGGTAACTACTCTAGTTTATTTAGTTCTTTGTAAAAGTGACTGCCCCAAAGCTGCAGTTCCCTAAATTACTTAGGAAACCTCTTAAATGGTGGTGTCTGGGCAACAACCCTTCTAGATGGTGCCAGGGTGCAGGGTGCCTCCTGGGCTGAGTGCCTTCAGTGGTGCCAAGGTTGGCTGATGGGTCACACCTACCATTAGTCCCCCAAGTGCGATTCCAGGGAGCCAGTTTGAGTCTCCCTATTAAACTGCAGGCCTCAAAGAATTACTGTTACCTGCAGCACAGGAGAAAACGGGGAGGGAGAGGCATGCCTCGGTAACTTCACAGTGATTTTGTCTCCAGCTTTCTTTGGGTGATGCTTACGTTTTGTGGGACCAAGAGGTGGGCAGGTTTCACAAACTTGACAAACTGGTCTTCTTTAAGAATGGAAAGGTAGGTTCTTAAACAGCATCAGGAATACTTGCCCCAACTTGCCCTCCACTTACCTGTCCTAGGACAGGTTGGAGCATGCTTTCTGTGGGCGTTAAGTCTCATTTTTAGGCGCAGTCTCCACACTGGGATACTTTGTCCAGTGGAAAGGCCTGGGCCTAGGAGGAGGGATGGGGTAAACTCTCTCTTCCCTCTTCCTGAAAATCACAGAGCTCCCCTAAAACTGAGGAGATAGGGTCTGCCCACAGTAAGAAATAGAATCAGATGTCATGGGGTAATTAATTCCCTTCTTCTCCCCCCATTCCTCAATGACACTGGAGATTAAAAGCTCTTTCTAAGGTGCAGCCCCCTTGCCAGGCCAGAGCTGGGAGGGCTGCAGAAATGATGGAGAGGGGAGGTCACGCCCCTGCCTTGGGTGAGACGTGGAGTAACACACATAGAGAAGTAACAAGGATGATAAAACTTCTCAAGAGAGGTGAAGCATGCCCAGGAGGCAGTGTGCTTGGGTGCGAGGGCTCATTGATGGGACCGGTCCAGGGACCCGCACACACCTGGGTCTGGTCCTTGGACAAGTCCCTGCCCTGTCTGGTTAGCTCCTGCAGGGCCATGTGGCTCTGGTGTTTGGAACTAGGATCAGAGGGCAGCAAGCACTGTGGGCTGAGGGGATGGGAAGGCTTTGTGGGTGTGGGGGGAAGGTCCCAGAGTTCATGATCCAGGACTGCCTTCCCATGAACTCCCAATGCAAATTCTTAGCACATTGGCTGGAGTTGGTTGGGTTTTTTTGGGGGTTTTTTAAAGCTTCCTGAATTACCTATAAGCCACCAGGGTAGACTGTTTCCTTCTAGCCAGGAGTCTCCCCTGAATGTTCAGATACAATGAATGGGCCATTGCATGTGATAAGCCTGGTACCTTTGGACAAACTTGTTTGGCTGGGCAGGTTGGCCAGGAATCTCTTGAATGCCCGTGTTTGGGAACTTTTCCCTTATCAATGAAATGGATCATTTCTGTTTATTTATGGGGCACACCTGTGGCTTTCCATCCATACATCTATCCATCCATCCATCCATCCATCCACCCACCCACCCATCCATTCTCCCATCTGTCCGTCCATCCATCCAACCAACCAACCAACCACTCAATATGCCTTAAATGCCTGCCCTGCTCCAGGCATCAGGTTAAGATCTGGGAACACCAGGAGGGGTGAGGCACCGTCCTTGTCCTCAGGGCACCCAGTACATCAGGAGAGGCAAACTGAAGATCCCCTGAAAGTCCAGATGGAGTGATCATTTCCTCTAAAGGCCAGGGGAAATGAGTGTAGCATGACAGAATATAATATAAACATATCATGATAATACAAAATGACACCTGCATGGATACCCACCCAGGGATCTGTGAGGTGGCATTAGGCCTGAGGACTGAGGAAGGTTAAACACTTTAGCCCGAGAGGAGAGAAGGACCTTTGGCCGGAGCAAACAGCCTGGACAAGGTGGGGCCGGAGAGGATGGGACTGCACTGGGGAGGCAGCAGGTTGCTTCAGGGTCACCAGAGCCATATGGCTGGAAGGGAGAGAGCACCTAGAGCAGGCCCCAAAGGTGGCTGGGGATCTGAAGCGCCCCATGTGTCCTACTGGGGACTGGCCCTGTGCCCCTGAAGGGCAGTCAGATTCCTAGGAAGACAGTTCCTTGGACTCCATGCCCTGAGGGGCTTCCGAGTATGTTAACAAGCACTGGAGAGGGGCTGTGCTGAACAGGAGGGGAGGAAGGGGACACGCCACATTCTCGGAGCCAGAAGTGAAGTGGGGTGTCCCATTGTGAGGGCCCTTAGTTTTCCTCCTCACATGTCCTCTTCCACGTTGGTGGCTTCCCTGATCTTACAAGGCTCTCCTCTCTGTTTTCATTCTGTCTTCATCATTTTCAGTGTCTGAGGAGTGAAAATGATGACATGGGCAGGAGTGACTCCAGCCTGGTTCACTTTAGGAGCAGGCGGAGAGGAAGGCGAGGACCATCACCCGGATTTCGTAGACTTGCTGTGTAGCCAGTCACTGCCCCCTCTGGGCTTCAGTGTCCACACCTTAAACAAGGGCATCTGAGAAGGTGTCCTCTGGGTTCCTTCAGGTTTGGGCATTCTGCATTGCCAGTTTCTTTTCCGAGACTTCTCCTCCGCCTCTCCCTCCCGCTCCCTTCGTCCGTGGCATGGCCAGGAGCAGCCAGGAAGCATCAGGAGGAGATCATGAACCTCATTAATAGCTTTTCCCTTATTCACATGCTTCCAGAATATTGTGGTTTAAATGGCAGTCCTTTCGTTACAGTACACGTCCATAAAGTAAATCCCACACAGAGAACCATAGACTCCCGTGCCTGGTTATTAGGTCCTTATTACCATGGAATTTAGTTCAGATGAACATGTTGAGGGAAACTGCTTTTTTTCCCCTATAGTATTTGAGTAATGAGGGAATACATGACCTCTCTGTGGTTCTCGGAGCCAGGTGGGGTGATGGAGACCCGGCCTGCTCATGCCTGCAACCACCCAAAGCCCAGAAGGCATCACTCCCTTAGGAGCGTGAGTTACACAGTGTTTGCTGTGCGTCACAAGTCACCGTAGGGACCTTTTCATTTATCCATCCAAAGCATCCAACCTTTGGGGTTTTTTTGTTTGTGTTTTTTTTTAACAAATACTTGCTCAGTGAAATGCTCTGTAGTCAGTGCTGTAAGGGACAGAAAAGGATTGTCATCCCTGGTGGAAAGTGAGTTGTGGCAGGAGAGCAGTGTGGAGGCCCTAGAAGGGGGTTTGGAGATCAGAGCTGGAGGCCGGAGCCTCAGCAGACAGTGGCTCAGATACATTGGAGGCCAGAGGCCTTGGCCAGATGACAAAGCGCTGCTATGGCTAAGGCCAGCACACAGAAATGTCCACGTCCCTGCAGTGTCAGCCAGACAACAGCAAAACAGCCATAACCACACACACACACACACACACACGCGCACCCCTCGGCATTAGAATGATGTTTCCAAAGCCCACTAGTTTCAAGCACTAATTCTAGAATTCGCTGGCAAATCCTTCCAGCTTTGTTGCAACAAGATTGATCAGGTTTTAAAACAGATTTGTATTGCATCGACCCTCTCTTGATGGAGGCTTCTCCTGAAATCTGGTGTTTCCTGCCAACGTGGTTCTAGGCAGAAGAGGCCTGGCTCCCTGTAAATTGGCCCCTTGAGCCTGGGGTGCAGGGACTGCTCTACCAGGGTGGGGTTTGAGGCCTGGGGTGCTTTGCAGGATTCTGTGGCTCTGGCCTTCCCTCTCAAAACCTCTGACTGTGGCGACATCCTGTGGCTTGTCCTGGAATTGCACCTTGGTGGTGGGAGGCCCCCCCCTCTGTGGCTGTTGGCCTTTCTGCCTTTTACTCTCTGTTGCTGTCTCTCTTCTGTTCTGCTTTTTCTCCCTTTTTTCCCTGTAGACTCAGCTTTGCTGTCGGAGAGGCTGATTCGTTTGCCCCTGGGAAAGCACTTGATCAGGCTGGGCGAAATGTTGTCTCAAGTCACAGGAAATCCGTGCTTTGGGGGATGGCCCTCGCCAGCCAGAGCCAGCTTTCTTCCTGTGTAAGTGGCCACAGAAGGAGCGAGCTTTCGCAGGGAGCGTCCTTTAACCCAGAAATGACAGGTGGTGGCAGCGTGTGGGGCAGGAGGGAGCAGGCTTGCTGTGGTCGGCTGGATGTGCCAGGGGAGACTGAGGAGGCTGTGGAGACCCGCCCTGGGTCTTGGGGCCGCCCTGGTGTGTTCAGTTTGCCCCCTGGGGATAGGGGCCTAGGTAAGGACAAGCAAAGGCTGGCTAGTGGTCTGAGGCCTTCTCAGCCTGCTGGAGGGTGGGGTGTGAAATGGGAGCCAGGCAGCCCTGGGTTTAAATCCTAGTTTTGCCTCTTATTAGTCATCTGACTTTAGGCAAATCACCCAGCACCCATCTGTTCCCTCCTGTTCCTCTTTTCTGGTACAACAAGATGGGGTGGGGGAGAGAATGAGTCCCATGACACACCTTGTTATAAAAGCTGCCATTTAGTGAGTGTTACTCCTTGCTGTGAGTTAGGAGCTCCTTGTGGGTATCATTTCATCAGATCTTTGCAGCAAGCCCATAAGGGGGACAGGTGTGATCTCTGTGTTACACACGAGGATTCCGAGGTGCACAAAGGTTATGTGACCTGCAGGCTCACACAGTCATGGAGGGCAGAGGCAGGATTCTAGCCCGGGCTGTCCAGGTCAGACTCTGCGTGTGAGATCACGGCACTGTGCTGCCTCACCGGTCCAGGGTTAATGGTTTACTCCGACGCTGGGGTTCGTGTTTGGGGGGATGATGAATTGAGTTCCCTTATGTCTCTTCCTCTTTCTCCTTGAGCTTCTGTTTCTTCTACACCCCATGCCTGCTGCATGCTTCTCTGATTTATGGGCAGGGTCAGTAAAGAAGGAGAGACGTGCCAGTGGGCTTGAGTTAAGTTGGGCTTGTCTCTGGAGGCTGTGGGGCTTCTCGGGTCCCATAGGGCTGCTTCTTACTCCAGAACAGGGATCCCCATGCTCAGCAGCCCTGTCTGTTCTGCCCAGGATCTCAGCTGTGCTTCTGAACTGGGTGTTGGGGAGCCAGACCTGCGCAGACCCAGCTCTAGCCCTTGAGAAGGTTGCTGACCCCCAGGAGGCAGATGTGGGAGTCTCTGCCACATCCCATGCCCAAGGATATAAGCAGCAGTAGGGTTTATGTCAGGTGCCTACACCGTCTCATAGGGGACATGGACAACCTGACTGGGGGGAGCAGCATACCATGTTTGGGGGAGAAGGTACAGGCTTGTGGGCTGGGATAGGGGTGTCTGGGAAGCGAAGGTGAGGCATGGTGGTGAGACACAGACCCTATCCTCTTGGGAGAACATGATGAGGGGCAGAACCATGGGGAAAGCTGAGAGGGCCCGAGTGCATCCATTGTCCTCAGAGCCACCCCTGAGCCTCAGTGCACTCGCTGTGCACCACCTGTGCAGCCCCGTGGGCACCGAGGAAGGACTACGCCCCCCACAACACCCCGCAGTGTTGAAGCGGGTGCCTGCCCCTCCACCTCTCCCAGGCGCGGCACCATTCCTCCACCTGAGCCCCAGTTCAGGGCTGTGTTTAGTGTGGACATTCGCCTTGCCCCTCCCATGTCCTCTGCCCCTGTGCTGTCCCGATCCCCACACCCTCAGCTGCTGCCCCCTCCCCAGGATAGACCCAGGCCAGCTGAGGCCCTGTCGCGTTCCATCTCGGAGGACCTGCCTGTCTGTGACCATCAGCACAACCCGTGTTAATGTTGACTTCCCTGGTCTTTGGATTGGAGGCAGGTGGGGATGGCGGTAAGGAGAGAAGGAGAGACCACATTTACTCAGTTTCTCCAGGCCTGTAGTATCCCTGGGTGTGATATTAAGTTTTGTAGAAGTCCCTCAGAGCAATTAAACACCTAATTAAACCAAGGCTTCCGCACGGTAGTCACCCCAGTGGCTCTGACTAGTTGGGCATCTCAGCCTCCTCAGTTCTGCTGACCCCAGGGGCAGTGCCATGGCGGCCATCCCCCACGCGTCTCCCTATCCTGGTGGTCACTGCTCTTCTAAAAGGCTCTTTGGCAGTTAGGTAACTTGGTGCTTGCAGGGCTTCTGCCAAGCACTCCTCCTGGCTTCATCTGGATGCCATTGCTTCTCACGATGCCAGGAGATAGATTTCCGAGATCTTTTCACTTCTGAGGTTGAGCCACTCCCATGGGGGGCGAAGGGGAAGGCTGGTGGAGAAGGTGCTGGAAGAGGTTGTGCAAAATGCTTGCCCTGGGTTATTTTTAATTTGCATGTGTGTGTAATTTACTGACACTCCTTTCTTCCCTGATTTAGGTTTCTGGAACTCCAGAAGCCCAGGCTCTGTAAGATGCTCCGTGTCCTCGCATTTGCCTATCCCTACACCTGGGACTCCCTCCCCATCTTCTACAGGGTAAGGGCCCTGTCCTGTCTCCTCTGCCTATTGGCAACAGTAGGAAGTCAGTTGTTTCCTGAGCTCCTGGAGGTCAGAGCACCATGCTGATCACCATGGGACACACAGGAGTGGAGACCCAGTGCTTCCTTACTGGCGCTTGCAGAGTAGTCAAGAGACAGCATGGCACAGAGGCCTTGAGGAACCATAGGACGTGTGCCAGCCTCCGGTGCTGACTGTGGGCTCAGGAGTAATCATAGAGGGCTGGGCAGAGGAAGCAGCCTGGGGTTTAGTAGAGTGACCAGGAAAAGCAGGCTCTAACGGCAGATCTCTAATATTTACTCACTGGGAGCCTTTGGGCAAGTTATCTATCATCTCTGTGCCTTGATTTCTTATCTGTAAAATGGGCATGATAATAACACCTCCTTTCATCAGGCTGTGGGAGGACTACATGAGACCATGGCAAGAGTCCAAAAAAAGCATTATTATAGCCCAGCCAGGCGTGGCTCAGCAGTTCAGTGTCGACCTAGGATCCAGGCGATCGGGTTTCAATTCCCAGTCAGGGCACACGCCCGGGTTGCGGGCTCGATCCCCAGTCGGGGGCGTGCAGGAGGCAGCTGATCAATGACTCTCTCATCATTGATGTTTCTCTCTCTCCCTCTCCTTTCCTCTCTCTGAAATCAATAAAGATATATTTTTTAAAAAGCATTATTATATATTATCATTAATATATTATTAGTAGTGATGGAAAAAGTATGAATGAAGGTCTGAAAGGAGAGAGAGGAATTAGATGAAGAACACAAGATAAGAGGGTGTAAGAGGGAAGACAGGAAGGAAGGAAGTCCGTGCACTCCCAAAACGGGTGGGCCTCAGTTCAAACCCAGTCCCATTGCTCACTGGCTGTGTGACCTTAGACAGTGCACGTAACCTCTCTGAGCCTCACTTTCCTCATCCGTAAATGGGACTAACATCCCCTCCGTCACCGGGGGGGTAGAGGGAATTAATCAAAACAACAGATCTGCTGGGCTCCATGATGCCTGGCACTTGGTCAGCACCCTGTGAGTGGTGTTCCCCTCCCAGAGGCAGACTGTGGGTCTGTGCCTGCCACCGCGATGGCGAGATGGCTGGGCCGAGGAGTGAAGGGGAGGGGCAGAGCTGGCTCCCCCAGCTGGAGCATTGACCACGTGCTCTGTGCTTGGTCTGTGTAGGCCTGGGGGAGATCCAGAGATGGGGGTACAGCCCATTTTCCCACTCCTTCCTTGAGGACACAGACCACACACAGCAAACTGGAGCAGAGAGATCAAGCTGGTCCCACGTGCCACCAAACCATCCACAGCACAGGTTCTGTGTTATTACGAGCACGGTGGACTCCTGGCACACAGCTGCTATGGGCAGAGGGGAGGGAGGTCTAATCCTAAATGGCGATGTTGTTGGCAAGTGCACGGATTCTGGAATCAGCCTGCCTGGATCCGGATCCTGACTTCACTTCTAATTAGTGGTTTGCAAGTCACTCTCGGTCCCAGCTTCCTCAGCTGCGAAATGAGGAAATAGAGTCTGCCTTACGGCAGTTGTTGAGATGCCCATGAACATGACACAAGTAAAAGGCCTGGCCTTGTGCCCTCTGAAGGTGGTGGCTGCTGTCATTATTTATAACAATAACAAAAACTGTACTTAACTCTGAAACAGTATCATGGCCGTAATTAATGCTTTTTGATGACTCTGAAGGCCTTCGAGGGATAGCTAAGCCTTGAAGCCTTAATGAGGAGCATTAGTTCAGAGGATGTGCTGGTCAGAAATGGGTTCAAGTGTGAACTCTACTCACACATTACCTTCGGGCAAAAAGAGTGGGAATGTATCTAATAGGGTTTTTCTCTTCCTTTCCTCTTCTCTTTTGTTTTCCTTTCCTTCCTTCCTTCCTTTTTTTTGTGTAATTAAATAACCCAAAAGGCTCTCATGAGCATTTGAGGGAAGAAAATACAATTGCCTTGGGTCTCAATTGACCCATCTCAGAATAGGAATTCTGTTCACACTGTCCCTGAGAGTGCCCTTTCCAAGCCACAGTGCAGAGGTGGGGGCCTTGGCCCACGGAGTCCGCGCATGTGTGCCAAGGTGTCTGCAGGTGATGACAGGGAAGGGGGCCTCCTCTCAAGACCTCATGTTTCTTTTAAATACCTGCAGCTGTTCCTGTTCCCAGGGGAGAGTTCACAGAACGAAGCCACCTTGTACCACCAGAAGCATGTGGCCATGACGCTCCTGGCCTCTTTCTTCTACTCTGCACACCTGCCGGAGCGCCTGGCCCCTGGATGCTTCGACTACATCGGTGAGTGTGCGGTGACTGCTGCCCTCGCCCTCCAGCCCGGGGAAGACCCCACCCCTGACACCTGTGATGTAGCTGGAGCGGGGAGGCAAGGGCAGGAAAGAAGCAGTTCTTCAGGAAGTTCTCCAGGTGCTTTCAAAGTTAGTGAAATTGTGAGTTAGCAGGGGCCAGGATGTACGTAACCAGTGAATGGCCAGAAAGGATGGGAGAGCCAGTGGGTCTAAAATTCTAAAGCATTCCTTTAGGGTATGGGGCCAGGGTGGTCCTAATACTACCCAGAACACAAAATCCCATTACTGTATTAAATGACCATTGAGGGCATCCCTGGAGAGAAAAAGGACAGGATGCACATGGCTCTGAGGGTACCAGATGCTGTGCAGGGCTGGGCTGAGGAGGGGAACGTGTCTACCTTTGACTTGTTTAGGTGGGTGCAATGGGGCCAGGAATCAGGGTAAAGGAATGGTTCTCAGGTATGGCTCCCAGACCAGCAGTCTCAGCATCACCCGGGAACACACAGATTGTCGGGCCCTACCCCAGACATCCCAAACCAAAAACGGGGGGGTGGGGCCCAGCACTCATTCAGAGGCTATGTGATTGTCTAGGTGAGCCTGAGCTCACCAAAGTCAGAGAAGTGATGTGGTGGCAAGGAGGTGTCAGAGCCACAGGGTGCATACCTGCTGGTAGAGTTCCTTCCCTCTCCAGGGAAGTGGGCAGGCACTGCAGAATGTGACCCCTACCCTGACTCTGGGATGGGCTGAGGAGGCCCTGGGGTCACTTCTGGTGAGGCTGATGTGTGTTGGGAGGAAAGCTCCTTAGATAAACTATTATGGGAACCCAAGGTGTCATCCTTGTCTCCATGTGGTGAGCAGGAACCTTGCTTCTATCCAAGCCCATTTTGTCTGTAATTTTCCATCTCCCCCCCCTAAGACACATGACCAGATTTGCTTCGTTCCTTCTGATTAGAGTTTCCTCTGCTTATTCTGTCCTGCTCGAGGGATCACAATAAGCAAAATGCTTTGAAGACAGATTTCAAAAAAAGAGAGAGACAAAAGGGCTGGGGATACCTGCCTACAGGAACCCACTGACCACAGTCACCTCCCAGCCCCAGCTGGAGGAAGTAGAGGTGATTGTGTATGAAGTCTGGGGGCTGCAGGAGAAATAGGCCTGGGCCTTATTTTGCCAACTCCCTGGTTTCTTAAGACACTTTTTCTTCATCTCTATGGGCCTAGGGGTCTAGAGCAGAAAGACACCCCTACGGGGAGAAATTTGCCAGACAGCAGTTAATGAGAGATCATTAAACCACTGAGTCTGCTGGGTGTGGGGCTCCCTCCCCACCGGCCCGAGTAGGAGGTTAGTGTTGGCCCACAGGAAGTTCCTCCCTGTTCCTGTCGGGGGGATTGCTGAAACCACACTTCCTGCTGCAGCCACATTTCACGTATGTCCAGGGCTTCCTTCTTTTTATGTCCTGTCCTAGTGGAGACAGGTGTGAGCTTCCGTTGGTGAGCACAGCTGGTCACCTCTCCCTGCTTGGCCCTATGTCCTTGGAGAGCACGGCTCTCTGCTGGACCAGAAGGCACTTTCCTGCACCACCCACAGATTTGGGGAATCGTTCACAGCCCATTAGTGTAGTGTAAGTGAGAGGCACCATCATCCTGGGGATGCTCCTGCCATAGGAACTCATCAGCCACCCAGTGGAGAAGCCCAAACGTTCCTACACTCTCATTCCCGACTCTGCTTCTGCCCAGTTGTGCGGGTGGCCAGGCTGTCCCTTCCTGGGGCACATTTATTGAATACCTATTCTGGGATAAGTCCTGGGGTATGGCACTGAACTTTTTTTTTTAATGGAAGAGAAGTCCTTATTTAATGCCTGTGTTGTATGAGTCTACTGGGGTTGCCATAACAAAGACCCACAGACCGGGTAGCTTAAACAACACGAGTTCATTTTCTCACAGTTCTGGAGGTTAGAAGTGTGAGACCCTGGCGTCGGCAGGGTTGGTTTCTCCTGAGTCCTCTGTCCATGGCCTGGAGACCACGTCTTCTCCTTCTCTCATCACATGGTCTTCCCTCTGTGTACCTGCATGTCCACGTCCTAATCTCCTCTTTTTATAGAAGGACACCAGTTACAGTGGCCCCCACCCTAGTTACGTCATTTTAACTTCATTGTCTCTGAAAGACCCCGTCTCCAATATGGTCCCATTCCGAGGTACTGGGGGTTAAGACTTCAGCATATGAATTTGGAAAAAGGAGAACATACAGCCCATGACACATGTGGCCTTCTCACCTTACTCCTGGTTTTTGAAGGTTGTCCCCAGCCCTGGGCAGTGGACTCCCATTTCTCACAGCCAACAAATGTGCATGTCCCTGCCCACTCCTGGCACCCTCTACTGAGCCCCCCCCGGATGCATTCCAGTGAGCTGGGGTCGGCCGGCCATGGGGAGGAAGGGCCCCTGGTCAGTCTGGGATGACCCAGCAGCAGGCAGTGGGCCACCTCGTAAGTGGCCAGCGGAGACTCAGGCTGGCTTCTCCTTTGGCCCTGAGGTCAGAATCAGCTCATTAGCCCTGGCTCTTCAGAGGTGACCTTTGGCAGAACATGATGCCTAATATTTTCATGTGAAAAAGGGGATCGGTGAATTTGGTTTGCTCTGATGGCCTTTTTCTTTTTCTCACGTTACATTTTAAAAATAAATTTACTGAATGAAGCATATTTTACATACCACGTAATTCCCTAATTTCAAATGTACACTTTAATGATACTTTTAGTAAATTTACCAAGTTGTACAACCATCACCATAAATGAGGTGTAGAACATTTTTATCACTCCAACATCCCTCATGCCCATGTACTGTTCATCCCCACTCCCACCCTCTGCCCGGAGCAACCTCTAAATCTACATTTTGTCTCTATAGATTTGCCTTTTCTGGACAAGTGATATGAATGGAACCGTGCAATATGTGTCTCTTGTGTCTGGCTTCTTTCACTCAGCGTGTCATTCCTTTTTTATTGGTGGCCTTTTGTATACTTGCCGTAGGTCACAGTCACCAGCTGTTCCACGTGTGTGTGATCCTGGCTACGCACCTGCAGATGGAAGCCATACTTCTGGACAAGACTCTGAGGAAGGAATGGCTCCTGGCCAACACCAGAGCCCTGACTTTCCCTCAGATAACCGGAGCCATACTTCTGTGCCTCATCTTCAGCCTCAGCAACATAATTTATTTCTCAACTGCTCTGTATCGGATGCCCGAGCCAGAATTACACAAAAAAGAAACATGATTCAGGCCCTAAGCTATTTGTGCCAGATGTCAACATTAAACTACAACATCCTAACCACCGTAAGCCAGTGGCGTGACTGGTTTACAGTGACCTGTAACAAAATATTCATAATGTTTGGTGTCTTGGCATTTTTGAGTGGGCTCATATTAAGGTATTTAACTGGGGAAATTTCTCTGGCTGTGCACCGATTCTGTATGTGTGGTTTTAAAAGGGGAGCATGGGTTCAAGTAAGTCCTCATTTAGGTGAATTATTAATATTTAATTAAGTTAAATTTATTTAAAGTGAGTTTTGCAATTCTATTTAAAACAGTTGGGTTAAGCATACTACCCCTGTAGCATTACTCTTTAAAAATGGAACATGCTTCATTTGATGAGTTTCATGTAGCAAAGCCTCTCCCAAGAGCTCCCACAGGGAGAGGAGAACAAGCCAGGAAGGTCAGGGGTGGGGGGACCTTAGAAAGAGGCACTTGGGCCTGGGGGACCCTGGGCACTGGAAAGGCATTCCAGAATAGAGACCTGGTTTAAGGAGGGGGGTCTTCTTTCTTTTCCCACCTAGTGAAGGGAATGAACGGAAAGAGAGTCTTTTTTTTTCCTCAAGTCCATTCTGCTTCAAAGTGCAAATTCCCGTGTCAATGGGTTTGGGTTTTGGATTATGGATTTGGATTTTCTTAGAAGTCCACAGCCTATGGCTGGGTGTCACATGTTCTGTTTCGCTGTCTTCTTGTTGCCATAATACTTTGATTCTGCAAAGTATTATGCAGTGCAGTTAAAATGTGTTACACTGTGGGCGTTGGTCAAGTTAATCCCTGTTGGTCATGTTCATTTGTCACCTTTTAAATCAGTGACAGCGCTGTATTTAGGGATGGCATGCATTTGATGTTGCTTCAGCATTTCAAATATGCTGCAGATTTAGCGTTCATGTGCGGAAGATGCTAAAGACCTTGCCAAAGGGTTAATCCACTGTTGTGATTTTTCAAGTTTTCTTGAGAATCTGAAACACTTGGTGAGCTTGTGGCAAATGCAGATTCCCAGGGAAGCCTGGAGATTCTGCTTTACTAGTGTAAAAATGTAGGTTTCTGAGAAGGGATCTGCACCGGAGCAAGTCCCCATGTGATTCTAATGCGGAAGGGCCACGGGCCAAACTTGAGGAAATGCTGGTGTCAGGAATTCCAAAAGGCACTCCGCTTATCAACTTTGTTTTCATTGATGTAATTTTCAGCAACTTACCACCTAAGGATGTGTTGTTCCCCGCTTTCTACTCTGCATGGTCCTAAAATGCTGAGCATTTTCTCGTCTGTTGTATTACTAATTAAAGTTCAGTATTTCATGGTATTTTCAGAGCAGACAGAAGTGCTGACACAATGCAATTGTGAACAGAAGCCCATCAACCCCTGATCTGCACTTGCTAATGACTTAAGGGGCTGCCTACAGTGCAGGATCCTCTTTGCTGACTCAGGAACACCCTCATATCGTAGAATACTGCCTTTGTGGTTTACTGGCCCAGGTTGAATGGCCTTGTAAATAGCTCATCCTCTGATCCTCTGAGGACAAGTAACAATTTATATTGGATGAGAGTGGTCAAGAAATATGATTTCATTAGTTTTATTATCTGTTTACTTCCCCTGGTGAAATGAGACTGATAAAATTATATGGGCTGGTAAATTTTTGGTACATTAATTACAAACTACATGAAAACATTTTTGTGGGTTTTTTTGCAACAATCTGAAGTCATTAGTGAAATTTTGTTCCAACAGGGTAAGTGGGCTTCCATTTCATCTCACTATAACTTCAATTTTATAATGAAAAAAAGGTACAACATTTAAATATCCTGTTTTAGTAATGCCAAAGGCATGAAGGCTTTCAAGTTCTGTGTATAACAGTAAAATCATGCTTCATTTAGCTTAGAAATAGTAGGAAAATATTGGGTGATTAATTTGAAGGGCTTTTAGCTGATTTCATCTTTGGTTATGTTACTTTTGTCATGTTTAATGATGAAAATGAAATGTTAAATCAACAAAAAAAGATCAAGTGTTTCATAATGTTTTTCCAAGTTTGACAAATTTAGTCCCATTGTATATTTTTGGACAGTATTACAAGTTAAAATTTTATACCAATTTGCAGTACACTGATTTGGAAACTTCTCATGTGTGGTGAGAATGCGTTCAAATATGTGAATCATCACTAAGTATTAAGTCTGATGTGGGTATAGGTTTGCCTAAGTCATTCCAGAAAGCCAGAAAGGTTGGCAGTGGATCAGTTGAAGAACCTCATTGGGAAGATGCTTTTAAATGTCATTCTCAAAATTTTTGAAATGTCCCAATACACTTTAGAGATGTGCCATCCTCCCATGGGTGTCAGCTGCTCACCCTGGCACTGTTTCAACCGCTTCCCCCTCCCCCTGCTTGAGAAACATAACTCTAAAACTTACCAGACTTAGAGCTGTGATAAAACTTGAACATGTTTGAATGAGACCATTTAGTCAACCACATCTTCCTGTATTCATTGTAGAGTTTTTTTTCCCATTGCTCAATTTTTAGAGAGTTACAATCCATCTCCTTTGTTAAAGAAATGAGTTTGTCATTGTTGATTAGAATTAGAAGTGGGAAGTTTAGAAACTTTTGAGTACACAGTGATTTAAATATTTGGTCTGCTGCAATCTTTTTCAAAGTGCTTTTTGTGGAACCCTGCTCATAGGAGAGGCTCTGAGGAAGGCGGGTGGATAGAATGGTATTGTCAGGTACCCTGGAGAAACACTTCATTTGGATCTACCGTGTCCCCAATTTGTTTTGGCCATGATACCCTCCTTATATGAAACACCTACTAACACTTATAACAACATTTTATGACATATTCACTGAATGCCAGCCTCTGATTTTCTAGTCAACGATCCATTATGGATGAAAAAGACAAAGACCCATTTCCAAACTCAGAGATGTTCTTCCAGTGTGTGGTTTTCTTAAATTGTGTGGGAGAAATAAATAAAGTTTATTTATTATAATACAGTTGTCCTGTTTCCCACTTGGTTTGGTTGTATTTTACCTACCACACTGCAAATGTTCATTCATCAAGAGAAATAGATTCCTGTACATGTGTGTATTGCTAAATCATTTGACGATTCAGTGCCTGGTATATATAGAACAAACAATGTCCTAGAAACTGGGGATAAAGAAGTGAACGAATCCCATACTGTCCCTGCCTCATGGAGATGATGTTCTGATCGGTCAGGCAGACAAGGTGAATTCAGATAATGGTAAGCGCAATAAAGAAAATAAGCCTCGAGAAGGAATAGGGAGGGGTGGGGTAAAGCTGGTGAGAGTGGATGGCCGCTCTGATAAGCTGACATTTGAGAAGAAACTTGGGCAGAAAGGTGCCAGCTGTGCTAGTGGGGGGGTGTGTTTCGGGTCTAGGTAGCGAGAACTGCCAAGGCCGGTAGGCACTTGTCCTGCTGGAAGGATGGAAATCTGGCCACTGACCCCTGAAAGGTGTAACTCCAGAAGATGCCTGGATGCCTTGACTTGGAAGAACTCTGGAATTCCTCCCGAATGTTCATCCTGGGAGATTGCAAAGGGGCTTTCCTGTGCCCCCTTGGTACTCGAATGAACACTTCAATTCTGCCGCCAGTGTGCTTCAGACAGCGTCACGCCTGCTCTCTTCATCTCAGCAACAGGTTTCCAAAGCTGGCTTTTGTGTCCTCCAACGCACAGAACAAAGGACCTCAAAGAGAGTGTAATCCAACCTTTCAAAAATGTATTTAATGATGTAAAATGCACGCTCACAAGCCCAAATGAACAGGTGAAGAATACCCAGGGGGGTGGGGAAGAGAGTGTTGGAGTTTTTAATTTTTATCAAAAGCCCCAGGTGATTTTTAATATACAGGAGTTTAAGAAACACTGATACAATCCAATCATTCCTTTTCTTTTTTACATAATTTCAGACTTAGAGAAACGTTGCCAAATAGAACAAAGAATCCCTAGGTGCTTTTTAGCCTTCCCCCTTTTGATATTTATATAACTCTAATGGAGAAAATTTGCTCCCATTATCCACAGTGCATGTAGTTATTTGCTCAGTCCTAAAATGTACACAGTGTCCTTTCAAAATTACTAACCTATGTCGGAAAAAAGGCTACTGATTAGAATTCAATATATGTTTTAAGATCTTTCCGTCTTCAGCCTGAGGGCGTATAGTAAACAGTCTTCATTATTTGGGTTACAGTCCCCTCTCCCTCTCTGTGTGTTATTCATTCGAAATGTGGTTCAGATCATTTGTCTCTTTTCGTATCAATTTTACAGCCTCCCCCCAAGCTTCTTGATTTTATTAATTTGTTTTCTGAGTATATAAAACATTGACTTCCAATCATCCGTTTTATAAATGGCCTGGGAATGTGAGATGATGTTTCCAGGGCCGCTGAGTTAACAGCAGGGTGGGGAGAGAACTGTCTCCGTTGGGTATTGGGTGTGTCCCAGCTCCCACAGTGGTCCTGTCTCCATTTTACCACCTTCCCTCAAACACTCGGGGCTTCTACAGGTTTTTGTCATTGGTGTTCCTACAGCTGGACTTGCTTAGCTGGGTGCTTGAGTTCATTATGGTTTCAAATCCGTATAGTGTCAGCTACTCTTCAGTGATATGCATAAGACCTTCCCAGCCCAGTTTGGCAGCTTCTTATAAAGTTAGACTTACAAAACTAGTAATCCCACCCAAGAGAAATGAAAATACATGTCTACATAAAGACCTTTATACAAATAATTATACCAGTTTCGTTCATAATTGCCGACAAGTGGAAACAACCTGAACATCCATCAAACTAATGCACGAATGAAGAAGTTGCCACACGTTCTTACAGTGGAATACTACTCAGCAATGAAAAGGGAACACACTACTGGTACATGCAATGCATGGAAAAACCTCAAAAGCGTCATGCCAAGTTAAAGAGAAACCTTCTGGAAAAGAAAATTCAAAGGAAGTTAGGAAAGTGGTTGCCAAGGGCTTGGGGGTAGGGGACAATGACTGACTACAAGGGAATTTTTGTGTGAATGGAATATACATTTGATTGTGGCAGTGGTTACAGGACGGTGTATGTTTGTCAAATATGTAGACAGTACAACTAAAAAGGGTGAATTTTACTATACGTAAATTATACCTCAATAGCCTTGCCGGTTTTGCTCAGTGGTTAAAGCATCAGCCCACAGACTGAAGAGTCCCGAGTTCAATTCCTGCCAAGGGCATGTACCTTGGTTGCAGGCTCGATCCCTGGCTCTAGCTGGGGCAAGTTCAGGAGGCAACCAATCGATGTGTCTCTCTCACATCGATGTTTCTCTCTCTCCCTCCCTCTTTCTCCCTTTCTCCCTTCCACTCTCTCTGAAAAGAAATGGAAAAAATATCCTTGAGTGAAGATTAAAAAAAATTACCTCAAAAAATCTTAACTTAAAAAACAACAACAGCCTCCCTGGTCTACTCTCCTCTTCTACCCTCACCTCTCATCTGGATCTCTAATTCTAGGAGGAAATGCAAATCTTTTTACTGGTTATGGAAGCCCTTTGTGGGGAAAGATTAGGATGTGTTAGGTATGAGGTGCCTGTGGGACACCCAGAGAAATTATATAATTGGCATTTTAAAGAAAACTAATAAGCCAGAGAGCTTAATACAGATAGAAATGAGGGAGGAAGAAAAAACTGGCCTGAGGGTGGTGCAGTTTAACTAGATCCTTGACTGGTGTTCTCTAAAGAGAGGGATTCCTTCATTCCTTCTCAGCCTCTATGGAGTACGTCCATTATTGGGCACTGGGGGTGCAACAGTGCCATCTAGTGAGACTGTCGGGATAAGATGGAGAAGAGACTAATAAACAGTGAATATAAACTGGAATGTGAGCACCTAAGCAAATCAGCCGGTGCAGTGACTGGGGACTGGGGATACAGAGCAGGGCCCAGCATCCAGAGCAGGGTAGGTGGCAAGAGATCTGCTGAGAACTGAGGATTAACGAGACCTTGTCAGAGGAAGGGAGAAAGGAAAGCTTGAAAGCAAGAGGAGATGGTGTGTGAGCCCAGTGTATGCAGGGCACTGAAGGTCAGTGTGGTGCAGGGGTTAATGATAGGTGATGAGCTTGAAAAGGAAGAGCCTTGGGGTCTTGTTGAGGGTCTCCAGCAATGGGAAGCTACTGCAGTGTTACGAGCATAGGAGTAACATGCTCAGATCTGTAATTTATAGGTGAGCTGGCTGCAAAATAGACCCCGGGTTGGAGAGTAGCAGCAGGGAAGCCTGTTAGGATAATGTTGCAGTCACCCAGATGAGAGATGGTAGTGGCCAAGGGGATGAAGAGAAGTGGAGAGGTTTGAAGGCTATAGGAAGAACTGTCAATATCTGGTAATTGAATGTTGGAATAGAAGGGGTGGCAAAAGTCAAAGACGATACCTTGGACTCTGGTTTGGGTGGGTGGGTAGACAGTGATGCCACCCACTGAGAGGCAGCAGGTTCAGGGGAAAAGATTAGGATGTGTTAGGTGTGAGGTGCCTGTGGGACTCCTAAATGGAGAGTTAAGACAGTTGGATATACGAATCTGGAGCTCAGAAGAGCAAATGTGAATGTTATGTGAAGCCATGGGCATGGTTGGGAGTGCCGAGGGAGAGGGCCCAGGTAGTAACCAAGTAAAAACCCTAAGTCACAACCTTTAAAGGAGAAGAGAACTCACAAATGAGGCCAAGAAAAAGGGGCTAGAGAGCTAGGAGAAAAAACAAAGGCATAGTAAGAAATGAAAGAGAAATATTTTTTTAGTGCTAATAAGAGGTCAAGCAAGATAAAGGTGGGAAAGGGTCAATTAGATTTAGCATCAAGGAGGTGGTAATTTTGGTGAGAGTTCCAATGGAGAGACTGAAGCCAAAGCCAGACTGCATAGTAACTAAGAGGTAAGTCAGCAGCCAAGCCCAATTCCTAAATGATACAGATCCCAACCTCTCATTTGACAACAAATAAAATTCTAATGGTTCAAAGACTTAAACATAAAAAACAATGCAATAAAAGCACTAGAAAATATATATTTTTTAAATTATCTCAGTGGAGCAAAACATAAGACAATAAAGAAAAGTGATAAATTTGGCTATCTTAAATATTTTTCTAA